GCCAATTAAACAGTAGGTTTACAACTATTATCAAGACTGGTATCTTTCTCTCAGCAGTAGGTTTCAGATACCAGTTGTCATTGTTAGAGGTTTATCCAATTTTAATGATGATTGTAATACATCTAAGCTTTTCGTTGATGACAATGCACTAACAAGATATATAAGAGTACAGACACAAACCAAACAATTGTTAGTGCAGCAATGAAATCTTTAATAACCATACAAGGGTGTTCTCTATGTTACCCCCCTTTTCCAAAAATAGAATCTTCTGTAAATGTCATAATTTTGCATTGGCGGTATTTTCACTTATTTTGCGGTCATGTAAAATGTGCACAAATACCCCTGCGCAAATAGTTTATACAAATCAATGGATGCACTTTATCGTTCTATGTGCAAAATAAACCAACTCGAAAGTAACTTATGCATTGAAATTGCAAAAATATCCTATTTACATTATTTGTCTTTTCATTTAAAGATATAGCTGTTTTGGGGGCACATATCTTGAGACAGCCAGTTCAGGCTCGTTGCAAATTAAGTATGCTTTTCTGTAACTTCTGCTTCTTTCTTAAGCAATATTTTGTCCTTTATATATATTTAAATTCAATTGATTAGTTGGTTGATGCCTCCAGACTCAAATGAGCAGGAAATTTAGAAAAAGATCATTTTTTTTTCCTATTCAAAATGCAAAAATCTATTTTGATTGGTAACAGTCGTGGATGGGGACTAATTTCATCACTTGTGCATAAGTTTTAACTGGTCTGAATATAGATGGTATGTTTTTTTTATGGTTAGGCCTGTAAATGTTACATTAAGATATTTCTCAAATCACATTGAACAGAGTGTAACAAATATGAAAAGTTATACCACAAACGTATTAATTTGTTTTGCCTTTTTTGTAATGTGATACAAAATTTCTACATTTCCATTGGCTATTTGTGAGGTCAGTGATGAATAGAAAAGGTTATTCAATCACAATAACAACAGTAAAAGCCTTGGTTTTTTTTATTATTTTGAAATTAAACAAATGAAGTTGATATGTTAAGCAATGTCCAGATGTCCAATTTTCACTCCTAATGAAATCTATAGATATTTTATTGAATGATAAAATTTCATTAAACTGTGTGTGAGTGTATATATTGACAATTGAATAAATTATCTTTATTAATTCACAAAACTTGTCCCACCCAGATCCTCCCTTATTTGATGTTGATTAATAAGGCCAGTGGTACCAATAACCAGGTGGCTATCCCTTTGGTGCCCGAACCAAATGCTGAAGAGTTACAGTGCAGACAAAGGCATTTGGTTTACACTAATCAGAGTTAAGTAACAGGACCAAGACATATGCTAACTGGTTATTGTATTAAGTACAAACTGAACAAACACAGGTTTGGGAGAAGAATCACAGTTTAATATTTTCTTTGCATATCAATAAGCAATAAACATATTTACAAAGAAAGCAAAATAAAGTTGAAAAACTGTGGTACTCCATACAAGAAGTACATAAAAACTGTGAGTTCTTTAAAACATTACTACTCTACTTATTAAACAATATAAAAGTATGCATAGATTCTACGAATGCAACAATATCCGTAATATATGTATATAGCAAATAAAAATAAATGTCCACTAGGGAGTGGAGGGTGGGAAGAAATTATTTTCCCGAAAAATATAAAATGACTGCTACAAGCAAGCGCTGCTTTAAGAATAATTAAGATTGCGCGTTTAAAACAAAAGCCCTGCTAATTAAGTGCTGATTGGTTAATTCAAAATTAATGAGCAATCTCATTGGTTAATTAGTATGATCTCGCAAAACAATTAGTAAACGAGAAGCACATGCAGAAGTGACTGGGAAACCCCCTTGCTGATTGGATAATAATCTTAACACGTCAGGGCCCCTGCATAACTTATGTACAGCATTCCAAAACGTATTGTGTCTTAATAATCTATTTATATAAAATAGTTCCTATAACAAGAATTTTTTCAACAAACTTTTCATATAATTTACAAATGTTTAAATAGAAAGCATTATGTAATACACAACCAATAAAACTTTTCTTTGTTTTTTTTCTCTAAAAATAGTAACTTCAGAAGTAATTCATACTTTTCTCATTTGACATTATTCTTATTTTTCATTTATAGCCAAGACTTAAATTACTGCATGCAAATTTAATTTACCAAGTTTAAAGAAAATTGTCCCATTTTAACATAGATTGAAAGGAATATTTTGACATAAAACATTACTCTTTTTTTTAGATATTTGATAGAAATTGAAAGGAAAATTTTGACATTAAACATTACGTTTTAAATAGTGCAATAGTTTAAACTAAATTGAATAAGACTTAAGTGAAAAACTAAATTATAAGTAGCTATGTAAATGTGGTTGAAAAAAATATCTTGATTTTTACAATAATGTTTTTTTCTGCACAGTTAAACATTGAATGGGCAGTTTGGAAAGTTCAAGACTGACAATCTGGCAGCAGGAGGTTAAATAAATGTATGACATGTATTGTGTAGTCCACTTTCCTGCCCACCCAGTTTGTACCTTAAAGAGAGAGAGAGAATAATTTAATTAGAATATAAATTGCCACTGAATTATTCAATATCAAATGTCCATAATTTATACATTTATTTTTGACAGGTACAAATCATCTGGTTAAAGGGGTCCCTTACATTTAATACCTGTTAATTCAGCCTATCTAAGCTAAAATAAACAACATCTTTTAGGTATAAACATAATCCATTGTTGGAGTTAATAAAGCACAAAATTCTATCAAAGGATGGGAAATATCAGATTAACTAGAAATACAACTTCATTATTAAAGGTGAAAATCCATAGTTAATGCCTTTTCTCTGCTTTTCCATCAAATATATACACTTTGTAATAGCAGATTTCAGGATTAGAGTTATTTTGGTGTTAATGTAAAGAATATATTATTGTTTATTTTGACTTTGAAGTTTTATATTTAAGTGGGATGTTAATGGACAAAGGATGAGAAGTATTTGTACAGGGAAATTAACAAATTACATTACAAATCTAAGAAAATAAATTCTGAAGACAGCTCATTAGCTTTTAAGACCATTTTGTTTCATGCTTTATTGTAAATGTTTTGACAAGAGTTATCCCTCATTGTTTTCATTTTATCTTCAGAAGCCTTTTTCTTTGATAAAAATTTGTCAGTAGAAAGACAAAAAAATCTAGAAAATTTGAATCCTCACCTTAAAAACCAAGATCAAAAATTTGAAAATTTCTGGTGAAAAAAGAATTTATTACTATTTATTATATTTTGATTTATATGTCTATAGTGAAATCAGACCTTTCCCATTTGCTTAATAACTATTGCTAAACATCACTGATGAGCAAAGAATTATTTTGGACATTTGATATTGTTTTACCCTTGCTTTTGAACTAGAGGAACAGTCCTTTGGTTGGTCAATTTGTTATTTGTAGAGAGACACTTTATAAGAGATAAGAGTTGCTTTAAAATATTTCAAATTATCTGATATTCAGCCAATTACCTTTTTGTTAAATCAGAAGTTAATTTACATGTGCTGTTGCAATAACAGAAGGTTTGAGTTTGCCAAGAAGAAGACCCTAACTAGTTTTTGCCTTTTTTTGACATTTTTGGATCGATCAATAATTTCTTTTTTTTTTAATTCTTATACAGCTGTACTTCAGTAAAACCTGACGTCTTAGGAAATTTCATTGACTACAAGATGACACACATTTTTTTTTTACCTTTCTTATGTTTCACATGCTTGTATGGATGTAAAGGTCTTTTAGCTTAAGTTGTTAAATCAGAGCGATTTGCGGAAATGGTTAAGTTCAAATGTTAAAACTGTAATATAAATGTTATTAAGGTTCATACATATAAAGAGTGATATAAATGTAATGAGATCTAATCTGGAAGATGTATTTTTTTTATTTTTCATACATTGAACAATTCTTGGAAATATGTCCTGAGCTTTACATTCCTCAAATCAGAAAAACTTGTTCTTAGGTTTATACATGTAATCAGGGACAAAGGTTCATACATTAAAAAAGGGAGATAAAATGGCCAATATAATTGTTTCAGTTCAAAAATTAAATGAAGGTGATATTTTCTGAGGTTATATGCATCAAATAAGGGAAAAATATTTTTAAGTGTATACATTAAACCAGAGATGAATGTTAAATTACATTCTTAAAAACTGGAGCAATATAAATTCTAAGATCATTTAATAAATTGGTAGATAATTACAAAAGGTTCATGAATCAAATTGGGGAGAAATATTTATACTTTCATACTCCAAATCAGAGAAATAAATGCCGAGGTTCATGCATCAGACTACAAGGGGATTTTTTTTAAAACTCTGATATCTTGACCATAACCATGATTTCTGTCAACCGAAGAATTCATCAATATATGAATAAAATTTCGTTAGAAGGATCGGATTTCATTGTTGTATGAACCTGCATATTTTATTCACAGGGAGCTGTCCTGTAATGTTTAGTACTAGCTTGATCCCTTCTGTCTGTGTTATGAGAACTAATGGCTACATTATAACATTTATATAGGCCCTCGTCCTTTGTTGTGTTCTAAAAGTGTGCTGCATCTCAGCAACTGATTTCAATATTTCAAATATAAATTGTCATTTTATATAAATGTGTTGGAAGATAAATATGACAGAGATGATCTTTTATCTATTTAAGATAAGGATAATGAAATTAATAAGATGATGAATGTTAACATAGGTGGCGTCTGCATTTTTAGACCTATTTTATCATTTTTATTAGGAAGATTTATAATTAATAACTTGTCAGTGTGTAAGGCGGTATCATTGTATTTGAAACTTCGTTAAAGAATTTGTATTTAACACTTGTATTGTACAAAGACTATCATAATATTATTTTCTTTTCTTGAATTACAAGTAGGATCTAGAATTACCACTTTTCTGTATAAATTTTGTGCCAAAGTCTATTTAATAATTACATCTGTGACAAACACAGTTGGATTTATTTTATTGACAGAAATTTACATAGTACTTTAGTGTGAAAGTTGTTCACAGTTTGTTCAGTTCCTCCACTTTGTCAATTTCGGATTAACACCTAGCTAAACTGATGGAAAAACAGTTTTTATGTGATTTTTAAACTAATTCCTGTTTTATGTGATCTTTAAATCTATTTCCACTTATATGTGATTTTTATGAAATTTCTTCCGTTTTGTGAAGAAATTGTGAAGAACTTGAATGTGTATTGATACAATTTGTGGTATTTTGTTAAGGATGTATTTATTGGACATGTATATAATGGTTCTACTAGCTATAAATGTCTGATTAACATTGGACAGAGGCCGAGTGTGATATAAGGTCAACATAAAAACATCAATACGCCATTCTACCTACATCAGTTTACACAGTCTGTATAGGTAGTCGTCAACGTTTTTTATATCAATACTGGACATGTTTATATTTCACAAACTGATTATTGTTGAGTGATTATCAAAATGGTAGAAAACTTCAAGTTTGTGATTAGATAAAAAAATGTTGTATTTTTGACCAACTGGTAGAGGAGATAAATCACAGTAAATCATGACCACTGAGTGAAGCAAGCACCTGTTTTTTCCTAAGCTTTATTTCACTTTCTGTCATATGGAATTTTTAATTTGTTCTTACAGCCAGACTTAAAGGATATAATTTATATTTCTTGTGATTTTTTGCAATTCTTGTACAAAACATTTTGGATATTGAATTGCTTCATTATGTAAATTGGTTCTTTGTGTGCTAAGGGGGTTATGCAATGGCAAAAAACGACAAGGAGTCGGGTAGGAGACATCATAGGAAAAACAAGATGAGGAATAATAAGAAAAAGAAAAATGATGCATGGGAAACTGATATTCACCGTCTTAATCTGGGGTAAGTTTTCAAATTTATAATTTAAAGTTTTGTTGCAATGTTATATTAAAGGGAAAAAAACTTTTCACTTAGTTTGAATTTCATTTCTTTTTGCTATAAGTTGAAGATTCTGCTTCTGGTTTTGAAAGTTTGATAGATAAAAAAAATAATAAAACCTGGGATAAAAAAATATTTAAAAAAAAAAATAATAGTGAAATATGTATTTTTTGTGATCCAAATCCTCTCTCAGGTTTTCTATGATCATACCTTTATCACATATCCCCATGCCTTGTTAGCAAAAAGGCAATGTGGTAGGCATTTATCTTAAATTAAAATCAAATTATAAAAATGAAGTTGAAACAGTTTAGTGAGAATTTTATTATGACAGTTATGGGGTTTATTTAATTTTAAACCATGTGCAGATATCAATCTTCCAAATTTTTACCAGTGATATTTTAAAAGCAATATTAAATTTCTGTGAGAAAAATCTGGATTATGCAATGATACATGATATATGGAAAAGGTTGTTTTCAATATAATTAATGGGAAAAGGTTACTCCTCTTCTTAGGATTAACTTGACCAGTAATAATCTTTTTATTATCAGCAAAAAATGATAATCTATGACAATTGTTTTTGTATTTATCTACCTGGTTGCCATAGGAATAAACGGTTTACATGCCACTTTCGTCTATTTCTGAGTTAAGACAGCTTGTTTTGTAGATAAAAGAATGAAATTGACATTAGGTATTCTATTGTTGAAATATTCATGACAATTTCTCTTGGTTTGAGTGAACAATTCTATTAACTAGAACATTGTCTTGTATTCCCTAAATTAACTTCACTGTTTTAACGAATGCTATGTCATGTATGTTCAAGAATGTTGACTTTTATTCTTGGTCAATCGATTGAAAAATAATTTCTGTTTTTTAATATTGATTGATGAATAAGATTTTCCCCATGTGTTGGCCATTTCAAATGGAAAGGTTGTTTTTTTTCAATTGGTATATGAATATAAAACCTCTAAGGAATGTTGATAAGGTTATTGTTTTTTCTCACTGCAGGAATCCTGCTTTAATGTTTTCATTTATAACATGAAAAATAATGGATGGGTTCAGACTTAGGCTACTGCCCTTATAAAATGTTATTGAAGTTTTTTGTGTTAACATGAATTTATCTTTAAGTTCCGCAAAATGACAATGGCAAAATGACAATGACGAGAAACATACATTTCATTTTTTTGTCACATGTTTATTGTACCTGGTACATACAAATAATTGGTTAAACCTCAAAATTTCGTAAAAAAATACTGTTCAATTATGTAACAATAAGCAGTCTGTAAGGAGATTTTTTTAAATGACCGTTAACATAGTTTGAAAATTCAAAACTCTTAAGCTAAGGTGTCCTACACCTCGGGAGATAATATTACATTTATATAAGGAAATAATCACAATATTTTTTTTTAAGAAGTGATGATCCAGAATGGTTCAAGCTCTTGAAAATCTTAAAATATAAGGTCTTACATTTGTATGCCTGTGTTTTAAATAAAGTGAATAATTTGTAATGTGAGATGAAATATTTTAGAAGATAAATTTCTACAAGAAAATGTTTTAAAAACGATGTAAAAAATGTATTTAATCATCAAGAAAATTCTTCTTTTGATTTTGGACATTCGTTCCTAGATCCAGAATTTTTATAACAGTTTCATTACTACTGAATAAATCTTCAGTGCTCACCCTAGAAATAGTTTCATTACATTTTTCTTTAAAAACTTGAGGAAATTGAACTAGACTTAATTTAATTCATCAATCTATACAAAATAAGATATTAATCCTGGTAGAAAAAAAATCAAAAATGAAAATGTGTATTTGCTGGGCATGTTTATTGCTGGAGTAAGTAGATTGTTAGGTGTAACATCTTGTCAACTACTGCATCCTGTTGACATTGTTGAAAAGCGAAGACAAAAATGCCGCCCTGAATAAATCGTTGGGTAGATATAAGGCTATAAGTAGATTTTATCAAATTATCTTCTGGATTAACAGTATAAACTGTGATAAAAATATTGTGCCACAATATATGTACACAAAATAGTGATAAAGTAAACATGTAAACTGATAGTAATTGTTTGAGTAATCTTCAATTTGTTATCTGATTATATTCAAATAATATTCATATTTGAAAAGTGTTAAATATACGTAGATAAGATATAAAACGCAAATCTCTGTAACTTTTATATTCAAATCTCACACATTTATATTTATTTTTTAAAAATTTCTTAAGATAGTCGGACATGAATTCCAAGAAGACACTAGGTTTGTCTGAAATTGCACAAGACAGGAAGATTTTTTTATGACATCATTGTTTTTCCTTGTTCGTTAGTCATTCTGAGAATGAATTAGGTGTCTCTTACTGAAAGACATGATTGCAGATGTTGAATACTTTTTGTTGTTGAAATCGTTGTAGTCTGTTTGTGTGTATGACTGTTTCAAGATTTTGTAGTGTGTGCTGGTTTAAAAATTTTAAATTTGTTAATATCTTAAATGAAGCAATTTTTAAAGTGATGGTGTTAGTAAAATAAGTAAGCAAAGAAATCTGAAACTTTACGTGTGATATTTGATCCAATAAAACCACCTATTCTATTGTGGTTTTATTGTAAGATTTACAAAATATTAAAGATCTAATATACAGACAGCATTTATCAAAATCTAGATTAAATCTGACTTCTTTACTTGTCTAGTTAAAGAAAAAAATCATAATTCATATCAGATCATCGCTGGTATTTTTAGGATTAATGCTCCTTTCTTCTTTCTGTTTTGATAATATTACATCCTCCAATGAAATTTATACCTCTAACTTAAAAGATGTGTATCATTATGACAAAACCCTTGGATCCCTAAAAGGTTTTCATTCATGACAGAGAGTACCGGTAAATCAGTGTGTTCTCAGATCCTTGTAACTGAAAATGTATGTCAATCTTAGCTAAATTGGCTGATGAAATGAAACATTAGGCATAGTATGGAAAGTTAGGTTATTTATATTTCCACAACATCATACATCATAGCAACATTTCATCTTGATGAATTAATTACTTAAGCCATTAAAGATACAAATTTTATGTTATACCCATAATCGTGTTGACATGTATGGTCATAGTAATGTGAATTATATGTGGTCATTTGTCCACTCTTAGATATGTCATAAAATATGTCCATTTATAATGGTCATCATCAGAGTGTCAGTCAATCTGATATATTGAACATGTGGTCAGATTTGTCATTTCATAGCTCTGTTATTAATAGAAATTGTAGTTCGATTTGTCAGCTTAAGGATTCAAGGATGCACAGAATTTTTGTTCCCTATAAGCCTGGTTGTTTGTCGCTATCAAAGTGAACTTGGTCAAAGTTTTCTTTGACCAGGTAAACTTGGTCCAAATTATCTGTTGTCACTATCAAAGTTTGTCATAAAAAACTTTGTCAAAGAAAAAACTGCACTGTGATTGGATAATTTCTGTCCAAATCCATCCAAGTTTCAAGAAAAATAGGATGAGATTTCATTCCATCCAAGTCCATCAAAGTTTTCTTTTATATTTGTCTATGTCAAAAAACCATCAAAAACTTTGACCAAGAAAACTTTAATAATGACATCGAGCTTTAAATAGAACCTATTTAAAAAATAATAGAGGTGACAGAGTCGAACAGGGATTAAGTGAAAAAAATCTAAAAAATGAACTAGATTTACTGACTTCCATTTATTTTCAAGTTAAACAACCTGTTTCAAACATAGCAATTCACATTAATAAACCAGCAAGGTCATCAAAAATGTGACAGTTTGACATTATAATTCAAAATAATAGGTAAAGGTTTTGCAAGAAACAGCTGATGTGCACATAAGTGATAAGTCCACTGTAACAAGTTAATATAAAAGGTAAAAAAAAACCAACAAGAAAATCAATGGCCATCTTTGATAGCAGATTGAAAATAATGTACACTCAATTTGTTTTATGACAAACTCTGGCAAGGTATCTAGTACATGTCATCCTTATCAGCTTATTAATGGAAAAATTGAGGATGCTTGTTAAGTGACAGCAAATTAATTTCCATTTGTTTACATACCCTTTTCTGGTGTGGATCTAATGATGGACTCTTTATCTTGGCTATATATGATATATATAATGAATTTACGATTTTCAGGAAGGTATTTTATTTTTATTGCAAAATCAATGTAGAGTATCTTTAACAGCTGAGGCAGAAAGTAGCAAGATTAGAATAGAAAAAAATGTCAATCGATAAGTTGTTAGCCACAGGAGACCGATCAAAAATTACTTTGATAGATTTTTTTCAAAAACTAAATACATGTTTCATGGTTTACTGTACAAAAATGAAAAAATAACATGACTTCCTATAATAAGATTATCAATTTAATCTACATTTTGTATCAATAATATGCTCCCTGTTGGCTATTAATGTCATCACTGTACAAATTGAAATTCCTACCGATATAATAAAATAACATGCTTCAGTGCAGGGACAATCAGCAAAATAATAAAGCAATAATGGAAACAAATCATTGCTAGATTTCTGAAAAATAAAAATGTAGGCAAATGTTTCTTGACATTGACAAGCTGTGGATTCCATTATTCTGTGTCTAATGGAGACTAAATTGAGCTGCGGCTTATTGAACATACTTCTTCACTAGATCAATTATTAATTCACCAAATTCCTCTCCACGTTCTTCTAAATCCAATATTCTCATTACACAGAATTCTGCCAACTTAACATGTCTCTAGGCGGTAAAGAAGTATTCTTTTTTTTTTTAATTCACAACTTAAACACAGTTGGTTTCAATACAATTTTCAAGTTAATTGAAAATCTTTGAAGTAAAATTTCAAACAAATTTCATTGAAGGAATTACATGTACTTGTATATTTAATTTCAAAACAGTTGACTCTTTCAGAGAGTTTAAGGTAACACTTGTTTGATACATGTTTCGGTGTTATATAAAAAGGGCACTAAACACCTAAGAAGTCCTATTAAATTTCTACATAAAAAGATCAAAAACACCAAAAATTGAATAAAACCGCAAGAGAGCAAGAGATGCTTAGTGGTTAGAAAAAATAGGTAAATTACAAATATGGTTTATGGTTATACAATATATATTTAGGAATCTTTTATGGATGCCCCTTAAAAGAAATACAACATATTTTACCTTTTACAGTGAGTGAATGAATAACTTATACAGTCAAGTTTAAATAACTGCAATGAAACGTTATCATTTATAATACAATTATGTCATATGACTTATATATATATATCTTAGAGTCTATTAAGTCAATGGATTGAGCTGAGTTGGAGAACATGTGAAACTCAAAAGTAACCAGAAAAAATTTTGATATTAAATTTCTTTTTAAATCTTGAAAATATGCTAAGAAAAGTGGAATATGTCCTTATCAGCATCCCTGAAAGTGATGTGTCATGGCTTTGAGTTGAGTTATTATAATATCCTTCATAACATGTAATATAAAATCTAGAAGCGAACAGTTATACTGGGAACTTTCATGAATTGCTGTTGCAAAGACTGGCTCACCATTTTTATTCAGATTGTTAGTAGGAGAAGCTATGTAAATGTAAATGGCTAAATGCTAATCTTATTAAAACTGGTATCAGAGTACTTAAACTCGGTACTCACATTTCACTTTCCTTAATAGAAGAATGGTAGTAAAATATGAATAAAAGAAATACTTTAATATTTCAATAGTCTCTATATTATTTTTTGGTAGTAATTTTTTATTTTATAGATGCACGATTTTAAGAATAAAATCAATGGATATATTAGTAACACTTCTGTTGAAGGAGAACATTTTAATCCTTTTTAAGGATAAAGGTTTTACATTAATTGGAATATTTATAATGTGAAAATCTCTGCAGGCTTTGAATTTCTATAAAGTGTCAATTTTAGATAATAGGTGTTAGGGTCAAGTGTTGAATCTCTCTCTCCCAACTCCCAAGCACACCTGTAGCTTTCACACCTATTTTATTACCATTTTGAACTTAACAATAACAACAATTAAGAGACATTCTTTGAAGATATATACATAAATTTTAAAAAGTTACTATCCCCCATTCTAATGTATACCGCATTATGTTATGATAATACTGAAGTTAATGGGTCCATTTGGAACTTTTATTTTTACAACTGTTAGGCACGAAGGGAACATTTTCATGAAATATGTAAATTGTGTTGTTAAATTTCCTTATGATGTGAGTATATTAAAATTATTGCATTGTATTCATATTCTTTAAAATTTAATTGAATTTTTTGTGGACTACTACATCTAGATAAATAGTTGTCATGCACAAAATTACTTTTTATTTGTTTATTATTTAGATTCTGTTGAATTTTCGATTTTGCACCTCATAATTGCATTTGTATTGTAAAATAAGAAATAACACCAGACTGAATTCTCCTCCAGCATTTTTGATTTAGATATTGAACTTGCCTTTTGAAGTCGGTGTTGTTCAAAGTTTAACAATTGCTATCAAAGTACAGTCTGGCTCTCTGACAAACTGTGTACTTTACAAATTGAAACAAAATTGGCAAATAATTGTTTGCTCTTAAGATTCACTTGAAACAAATTGTCTGTATGCTGTCTACACTGGAGGTTAATATGTTACATTTATCATTCTATGTAACCTCTTTTTCTTGTAAAAAAAAAAAACGAAATCTAAATAATGATTGTGTGTAGAAAAAAACAAAAACATTGTTTTCTTCTATAATAGCCAAAAAACTTAGCTTCTATGGACTATTTAAGTGAAAAATTGCCATAGAATCAGCAGTATCTACAATTTGGTGTAAAGTATGTAAAAGTTACGTCAGTGAAGTACATTTGCAGAAGAAAAAATATATTTTATAGGTACAAAACAAAATAATAAAATTAATGCTTTCATATTGACTTACAAGTAGTCATAGACCCAGTTAATTTGATGAGTTCTTTTTGTCATGATTTGTTAATGGTTTGAAGTAAATTATGTGTCAACACCTGACTTACTGGTCAAACAAAAATTGTCTATACTGCCAAAAATAATACTCAAATTCTTTCTGTATACCAGAAAATTGTAGGCACTGAAAATAAAAATATTTTCAAAACTAGAATAGATAAGTACATGATGATTTTTTTTCAAACAGTCTAAATATTAAAACAATATATAAATATTATTATAAATAAATTATTTTACCTTATCACAAGTATATATCTTGATGGTGAGATATCAACTATTCATATTTCAAATGGAAAATTCAATTAAAAGATTTAACATGTTTTCTTACAACATTCCTTATGAATTTTTCAAAAAATTGTTAGAAAATAATATTTACAATTGATAAGCGATTTAAATTGAAATGTTACATATGTATCTAAGTGGTTTGGTTCCTCAAATCTTGAGGGATTAAGATGTTGAGATAATGAAGTTTGTTTTACTTATTATCCACTGACCAAACAAATTTGTGTGTCCAGAGACAGATGTTGACCTATCAGCCACATGTAGATTGTCTGGTGATTTACACCTCTCTTAGCTTGTTACAGGCCAATTAGGAGAAGTTTATGTGGAATCCTAGATATCTGTCATGACTACACCATAAGTCCATTTGGCCTCTTCCGTTTATTTATCTGTGATTAATCATGGACATTTAAAGATGTAGTTATGATATACTGCTGATGAACCTACTCTAAAATGTAAATTTTTTTTTTAAATTATTGTATTGACAAGTTTTTGATTTAAATGAGATGATGTTGTAAAGTGTTGTCATTTGTGTATTTTCTTTTGTTAGTTTTTGTATGTTTCTTAATGATATTTTCATGCTTCAGATAATGAAATAACATGATATTTTTGTCTTTTCAGGGATTTCTTTGGAACGAATGACGGGGATGGAAGTAAGTCAATTATATATATTAAATCAAACTTAAAAGTATTAAGTCTAAAAATATGAGATTTGTGCATTTTCCCCTCAGCATTGCTGCGGGCTCTCAAACTTCATGATCCTTTGTAAGATTTCTATTCATCAAAGAAAAATCTTAATCTGAATCATTGCAGTGATATTTGCCACTGGACTTACAATTAACAATCAATAATTTTCAATTATATTTCAATTATATTTGTGAAAAACTGAAATCATATTACGTCAGTGCTTTTGCAAATGAATTTATGACGAAGAACTTCAGGGCATCTTTTTAGAATCAATAGTCGGAAATCTATTATACAAAACCTTGAAAATTCAAATTATGAATATAATAAACCAATGAAAGAGTTGTAAGCAGTAGGAAGTTTTCAAAGGACTCTGCCTTACCTTACACAGCAGTTCAGTACTGAGGGTGACCTCTCATGGTTTTTGTTGGGAATTTACAGTGTTCCTTACACAGCACTTCAGTTTTTCTGAGGGTGACCTCCTACATTTTTTGTTGGGAATTGTGTTGCTAATAACCTTTAGTTTTCTTTATAATATTCAATGGACTGTTACTCTTTGTAATTTTGGCGTTTTTATTTTGATCATGGTGTTGTCATTTTCTCTTTGATTTCTGCTTTTTATTGCCCCCTTCATTATAATCCCCTCTTTATTTTTCCTAGTAAATATTTGTTTGAAAAGAAATGTTGGAGGTTGATGTGTTTGTAAATGCTGAAGTTATAATTTGATTACAATTTTATATTACATGTAGTTAGGTGTGGTTAAATACAATAATTTTATGTAAGCCAGTTCTATTCCTTAAGAAGATTTTAGTGTGCACTTTTATGAATAGTAGACCAGTTTGTCTGATGTTACAGGATATGAAATGCTTTCCAATAATTTTTTTTCCCTTTAAATATTTGACATGATAGATCAAAAGTAAACTACAGCAGTTTAAGGTCAGTAGGGTAAAAGCTTTGATGTGTTGAAGCAAAGTCCAGAAATTCATGTAAGTTTCCTTACTTGTAAAAGAAGTTCACCTTTCCATTTTTTTAATTGACAAGGGCAAGTCACAAATATATTTATATATACCGTAATGTAGTCAAATTTTTAATTTTTACTGGTAGATGTCAACCATCTACCTACAGTCCTTTTCATATAACACTGTATAGAAAAAAAAGATTGTCAATGAGACAACAAACACTAGAGACCAAATGACATGGAAGGTTACTGACCCTTCAACAACAAGCAAAACTCATAATTAACTATAAAAAAGACCTGGAAAAACAAAATGTATAACAAATGCCTGATTTATGTCAAAACAATAAACTAGAAATAAATATGGTATTTCAGACAGCATAATGTCATGGCAACCAAGGACAACTACTTAATTATGATGCTCCTGACTTGGGACAGGTACTTAAGAATGTGGTTGGGTTTAATTATGTTATGAGTGCTAAACACTCCCCTAACTTGGGACAGTTGTGTAACAACAGAACATAAGAACAAACTGTTAAGATCAGTTGGAAAAGAATTGACTCATCAGATTGGCACAAAGCACAAAAAAAAAACAAGCAACATAAAGACAAAAGACACAAAGTAGGGACCAATGAGCTTACTGAGAGCTGAAACTCAACACCAAAATCATGACATAGAATAATCATATATTGTACAATCATTGAGTCAATGACACAATTTAAAAGTGCATGTGCATGTTCAATTTCCTATTTCTGATCTGTTAAATAACGTTATAAATGATGTAGAAGTTATTCACAGCAAATTAGGTCTAAATCTGCATTTAAATTCTTCAGTCATATGTAATTATTGCGCGAAGTGAAGCATTCTATATAAATATCTGCATGTTTGATTGAGATTTCATGAGATGTTTGTTCAGAATATATTACAATGGAATATGTCTGACTGCTTGCATGAAATACTTACCATAAAAAAGACACTTTTCAAGTTTATGATATAGATGATAATTTCCATGTAACCATGACTATAGCCATCCTTATATAACACTTTTATGAAAAGAAAGTACATTATGCCTCTTGAAAACTAAAAATGTTGGAAATGTTTTGTTTATGTAATATCTGTTTAACTTAATGATCCTGATTACTTACATGTAATTGACAATTAGAAACAGATAAGGGTTACAAGTGAAACGCTTAGACATGTTCTTACCACTAGAATATCAAAGACAATACAGTTAGCAAAATTTTTTCTAGGAAATATTGTTTGAAAAGATGAAATGTTTTCCATACAAAGAAAAGTACAATATTATTTTCTCACAGAACCACAGTTAGTTACATGAAAGGCGTCAATACAATCCTCCGGGATATAAAATCTGATTAAACCCTACATAACTTACGAAAAAATATAATCCTGCCGGTCTCTGAAGATCTACTTATTTTTGGGGGTAAAGAAAAGCACCAAAAGCCTCCTAATTTCACTGCCAATAGCATCAAATAAGCCGTCTTTTCTCACCGTATTTTTGAGCTTCTTTTAGAAAATGTTGTCTACTCACATGCTATTTGTGGTGAAATGGGGTCATTTGGCTCTTGACACTAAAGGTCATTCCTACTCTAAAAGATAAGTAGATCTTCAGAGACCGGAAGGATTGTATTTTTTTGTAAGTTTAATAATGCAGGGTTTAATTAGATTTTATATGTTTTCACTGAAAACAGAAAAAGATTGAAATCTGGCAGAAAGATTCAGCTGTTTGAAAGTGTTATATTTGTTCATATTGGTTAGAGCATGCAATGTTTTAACAGGTTCTCCTTGTCAGGTGAAAAGGATACACAATTGTATCTGATAAATCAAAATAATAACAAATTCCAAGTTTCTATCACTTTCTCTATAAAATATGATCACTGAGAACAGAAAGATAAATGAGTTGAGAGTGTTAGTTAGAAGAGCATTATAAATCTTCGTCTATTTATCTTCATCCTTTCATACTTTGTACATTTATTGAAACTTTCAGACAATCTGTGCTGTTTCTATTCAAGTGTATGTCTAATAGTACAGCTGTATTGTGTTAAAGTGTGCCTCAGGTTTATTTATGCAGTAAAGATTAGAAAATAAGGATAAAATCTGTAAAAAATGACATTTTATGATCATTATTTAAACGATTAGCATAAAAGTGATATTGATTATATGATTAGCAAAGACCTTAGAAAAACTCCTGCTCATAATTGTACAAAAATTAACCAGCACAATCTCAAGGAAAAAGAGATTATTTCTTTTTAGAATTTGTATCCTTAATTATATTTTATTACCAGACTTTAATATTTAATGAATTTAAATGGAAACTACATTTTTTTCTCCTTCTTTTAAATTGATTAAAATGATATCCTGCTCAATATTTTATAATGATAGCATATAAATGTCAGTTAATCTTTCAGATTTTGTGTTGATTTTTCCAGTCTGAATACTTTTTATATGTTTATCTAAACTTTTAAAAACATTTCTTGCCTGCGTTATTTGAGTAAAAACAAATAGTTCAATTTGTTTACAGAAAACCTAGTAATTATTATCAATATGATAGGATGGTCATTTCATATTTGTTAAAAAAAAACCTCTTCAAAACTAAGAACTACATGAAAATCTGTTAAATAAATATTCTTAAGTATGGTCTTTGTGCATTATATTGATTTAACTGAAATTGATATAAAATGTAGAATAAATTGACAAAATCATCATGCAGCGTCACAAACTTAGTTGATTAAATGTTTTATTTACTCAAATCTATAAAGCTTTTCCTTTTCAATGTAGGGAAAAGTCAATTCGGGATAGGATATTGATATGCCACATGCCAATTAAGAATTATTAGAAGTCATCGTCTTCTGTTTTTATAGGACCGCAAAAATTTTTTTGGGATGTATAATGGTATGATGTCGTCGTCTGCGTCGTCGTCCGAAGACACATTGGTTTCCGGACAATAACTTTAGTTTAAGTGGATGGATCTCTATCAAATATTTTAAGAAGGTTCAATACCACAAAAGGAAGGTTGGGATTGATTTTGGGGGTGATGGTTCCAACCGTTTAGGAATTAGGGGCCCAAAAGGGGCCAAAAACAAGCATTTTTCTAGTTTCAGGATAATAACTTGTGTATAAGTATTTTGATTGCTCTGAAATTGTACCACAATGTTTAATACCACAAGTAGAAGGTTGGGATTCATTTTAGGGGTTATGGGGCCAACAGTGTAGGAATTAAGGGCCAAAAAGGGGCCAAAAACAAGCATTTTTCTAGTTTCCAGACAATAACTTGTGTGTAAGTGTATGATCTCTCTGACATTGTAACACAAGGTTCCATATAACAAAGGGAAGGCTGGGATTGAGTTTGGGGTTAATTGCCCCAAACATGTAGGAATAAGGGGCCAAAAAAGGGCCAAAAACAAGCATTTTCTAGTTTCCAGACAATAACTTGTGTTTAAGTGTATGGATCTCTCTGAAATTGTATTATAAGGTTCCATACTACAAAGGAAAGGCTGGGATTGAGTTTTGGGGGGCGGGGGGTTCTAAAAAGTTGAGGGGGGGGGATTTTTTTTTCCCAATTTTTTTAAGGGATTCATATTATTTTTTCAAAATTTTTCAAATTTAGAATTTTTGAAAAGTTTCAAGAAGAAATCTTCAATTGCACAGTATTGCACAATAGATTTGTAAGATCTTTGACCACATTTATTTTGTGTCAGAAACCTATATTATGACTTTTTAGGGATGTTATTTTCCATAGAAAATGACTTTTGAGGGATGCTATTTTCCATAGTTGGTCATAGAATTGGTATCAGGTAATATACAGGTGAGAAAAAAAAAAGGCAAAACAACTATTTGTGTTAAATTACAATGATTAAAAATAATTAAAACCTGGCATTAATATTTAAGATTTTTTACCATGAGTATAGGTTTTGAGTATTAATTCAGATAGATAGTACTTATGGGGAAAGGATTGATTTAAGAAAACAAACAAAATTATAAAACCAACAGTTTAAT